AGACTCGGCTTTTGCGGATCCTGCGGAAGGACTGGCGCAGGGACTTCTTCAGCGACTTCACTCGGGAGAGGGGCCCCTCCATGGCCAGGGAGTCGTTGGGGTGGAGCGTGCACCTGGGACGGCACAAACAGCTGCTCAGTGCCAGCCTGGGGGGCAGGAGCGGGGACCCTCCAGGATTCGCCGTGTTCACAGAGGGGAGACTCGTCCCCAGCCTTCTCCCTAACCGTGCCTATGCCTAGCTCCGCCCTGGCGGCTTGGCAGGGCCTGGCATGTAGACGCCCCCCCATGCCACTTGGAACAGGCGGTTATCAGGTAACCCACAAACACGGGGGACTGGGACTAGACCCCTCTCACCTCAGCAAGGCCCCTCTGTGGGCTGCAGCCACCAGAGGGCGCCTCTCAGCCACCCCACGACAGTAGGATCAGGCGTCCCAGGGGAGCCCCTTTCATCCCAAAGCACTCGCTGTAGGGGGGCTGAGCGCCAAGCAGTCTGGGTTCAGCTAGGACACGGTGTCTAGAACATGCTCCGCAAGCATTCGAGCGGCCAAGCCCGTCAGGACGCCCAGGTCGGCACCTGCTGCCCCCAATCAAGGAACTGCTCCATCGAGGGACCCTCTTCCTGGCCACGCTCCCACAACACGTCCCACTGCCCCATGTGGCGCTCTGCCCCCTGGCTGCAGCGGGAGAAGGAACGGCCCTCCCAGTGCCATCTGGAGAGGTTCCCGACGCAAGGATGGAGCAGCTGCTGCCGGGCCGGGGGAGATGGACAGCTCTTCCCTGGGCAGGGACAACGGGGGGCGTGGGCCCTTCTGCAGAGTCACCCATTCCCCCCCTAAGCAAGCCCAGGCAGCCCCACCGGCTCCGTGGGAGGCCGGAGATCGGCAGCAGAGGGGGTGAAACCCCCGGGGCGTCTGCTGCTCTGTTCCAAGCCTCCTCAGCACTGTCACGGGGTCGGGAGATTCCTCAGCCACAGCCTCGCGTCAGGATACCGGGGCTCCCTATTGGCAAGCAGGGACACCGCTCGCCTACCCAACCCCCCTTCATTCCGCAGCTGCTGTAAGGAGCCCGGAACGGCTCCGAAGGCAGGAGATCGGTACGTGCCGAGCACTGGGCTACTGCTGGGGATCATCTGCGGCACATGGACTGCAGCATTGCATGGGACAGTCTGCTGGCAAGCTACGGCACCCACTTCTCCGAGCCGACCCCCTAGGACTTAGCCGCACATGGGAAAGGGATCAGCCACACAACATTTAAACCTCCCTCTGCCCCACTCATGGGTCACCGGGCCCCCCCACCAGCTCATTATCTCAGCTTCTCCCAGCACAGCACCGGGCTGTGGCCACTATCCACAGAATCCTTGGCACGGCTCCTTCCAGCAGGGGGTAGAGGGCTGCTGTGGGACAGGACAGTGCCCCTTCCCGAGCACAGGGGCGAGAGGAGCCAAACCTCCCTAGAGCCCGGCCCTGCCCGTCTGCCAGGGGGAAGGATCAATAGCAACAGGGTTTGTTGTGCTCGTTCACCGCTCAGCTCCGCATCCCAGTGCCAGCGCCGAGCTGGCCGTGATGTGCTCCGTGGCTGGAGCCGGTCCCCAGGGAGGAGGGAGGACAGCTACCTGGCCAGCACCGCGTTGCGTCGGTAATAGTCAAAGAGCCCGAAGCCGTGGCTGGTGCCGAAGGCCACCAGGTTCCACTCAGAGTGCAGCGTGACGGCGGTGACGGCGGCCGGCGGCATGCACTGCACCAGCACACTGGGCTGGAAGCCTGGGCTGAAGGTGATGGAGCCATTCTTGGGGGTGAGCCGGTCGTGCCCCTTCCAAGTGAAGCCCTCCCGGTCCTGCAGCAGGTCCACCATGGCCACACTGATCATGTGATTCGACTTCTCATCACTCAGCTCCATGACGAGCACCTGGCGAGAGGCAGACAGGGCACTGAGGGCCAGTCCCACCGAGGCATCTCCACACTACTGGTGCATGAGGCTCAGGGGAGAGCTCCTGGACTCCAGCTGGGAGCCTGGTGCCCATGACGGCAAGGCACCCACAGCACTGGGACTGGTAGATAAGTGCAGGCTCCAGGTGCTAACAAAGCGCCCCTCAGCCGCAGCACCCGCCGTTATCCCAGGGCCGACGCCCGCCCCGGCGCCAATGCTCAGTGCTCCCGCCCTCCCTACCCAGTCCTGCCAAAGCCAGATGGGGGTTGCAATGAGGGCAGAGGTTCAAGCCATGAAGTCTCATGTGACAGCTGGGCCGGGGGAACCTCTCCTCTAGGAAGCCACTGGTACATTCCTGCAGCCATCAGCGCTGGCAGGCCAGTGGGGCAGCGTGACGGCCCAGGGGCAGCTGGTCACGAACAAAGGGGTTTATCCCTGCTCGGACTGACGCCTTGCAGCTGGATGGCTCCCCAGAAGCAGGAGACAGAGCAGACGTTCCATAGCTGATTGGAAACGTACGAAGCTTCCCCAGTCAAGTCAAACCCACCCTCAGCAAGGCTGCCAAGCCCTGGGGTAGATCCCACCAGCCAAAGGGTGCTGCCCTTCACCCTACAGGCCAGGTCACTGGGACGGCTGGAAAACACACCCTGGCATCAGCTCTCCAGCCCCTTTTAAGAGGCAGAGCAAGAGCATGGTCTGAGAATCCCACCCTCCCCACCAAATACTTGGGCTCTGCCCCTGGCCCCCACACTCCCTTCCCCCTCCCCAACTTTGCCTGTAAGGAAAACCCGGCAACAGAACGGGGCTGGTTGGCTGTTCCCTTGGAGCGTCACCCCCTCCACCCCACCCCCCGAGCCACCCTACCTGCCCGGCAGTCCCAGCCACCACCATCCGGGCCGTGTATTTACACAGCGCAATCTTCTGGATGCCCAGCCGGGGGTCGTCGCTGTACGGATCAAAGCAGCCAACCTGGACAATGGAGACAGGGGGTCAGGGGCACGAGAGGGCAGGATACAGCTTGCGTTCGGGGCTCCGGCAAGCCATTGCACACACACTGACTCCCCCCAGTGCAGGCACCCCCCTCTGCCCCCTCCCTTTAATGGTCTCAGATCCTACCATAACCCCCTGCCAGGACCGGCCCTCGCCAGGGGCCCCTGATCTGTGACACTGGGCTGCATTATTAGACAGCTCCCTTCTATTTGCATTAGAGACGGGCCTGGACAGACACCCCAGGACTGATGCTCCCCACACAGCCTGCCCTGGCCCTGCTCAGAAGGAGAGAGCAGTTTATGGCCCATGGCCTGGCCTCTCTCCAGAGGCAGCCAAAGGGTCCCCTGGGGTGAGTGATGTGCAGAGCGAGTCTGGCTCTCTGGGCGCCCAATCAGCTGGCAGCATCGTGTCACCCACTACGGCCCCGGGCTGGCAGCGAGCCACTCTGCACGGGGGAGCTTATCCGATCCATGGGCATCCCGGGAACCCTCAGCCAGCTAGGCCCAGCCTGTGACACGGCAGCACAGGGACACGCCTGGAGAGGCCCAATGGCTCCTGTGAAGGCCCCACACGGAGTTGCCAGGATGAGGACGGGCCGAGGGCGGTACCTTGCGGAAGGGAGGCCACTCCTCCTCGCTGGCCGGGTTGAGGCAGTCGCTGTGCTCGCAGTCCGTCTGGAAGATGTTGGCCGTGCCCAGTTTGTACAGCGGCCGCAGCGACACCCCCGAGGCGTCCCAGAAGCGGACTGTGCCGTCCTCGTGCCTGGGGAAGGGAGAGAGAGAGAGAGAGAGAGAGACGTAGCGCTCGGTGAGGAGAAGCTGTGTCTGTCCCTTGCCCGGGGCCCTGACTCCCCACGTATGGCCAACGAAGCTGCTCCATCCAGGCCAGCCCGTAGCCTTACAGCCCGCTGCAATGCCCTGGCCTGCCCACTTCTGCAAGGGAGAGGCAGAAGAAGGGAACAGACTCTCCATTGCCTCTGGTAGCGTGGAACTAGTTTTGACTCCTGTCCAGTGGCTCTGCCGCTCCAGTGCCATGGCATGCCACCTCCCGACCCCACAGCCATCAGGGCCGATCTCCGCGTGCTCAGACTGCGGTCCCTCCTCCCTCCCCCAGCCCAGAAGCTTAGGGAGCCGGCGGGAATGAGCTCAGGGGACCAGCATTCACGCCCGGCTGGCTCAGGAGGGTGGAGAGGTGAGGCAGAGATCTCCTTGGTCCACAGGTCTGGATTCTGGACTAGTCACTGGGCCACGGACCAGGCGACCTGCCGCAGTGGTGATGCCCTCAGGACGGCGCCGTCACAGAGCTGGACGGCTCCATCAGGCAGGGGTCAGGAGGGAGGGATGTGGTTGCACAGCTGGCCCCTACTTGGCTTAAGCCAGCAGCGCCTCGGTGGCAGTAGACCGTCCCACGGTGGCGAAGGGAAGCAGTTCCTCGGCAACAACAGGCCAAGCTGACGTTTCCCTGACGACGTCAGCGCTAGAAGCCACCCAGCAACGCCGTACTTCACAACGGCTCGAGGTGAGCAACCACAAGCCATAAACACAGGTTGCTAAGCCCTGGGAAGAGCGAGGGGCGTTCTGCGGTCAGCTGCCCATGTCAGCCCCTGGCCGCTTCCGGTTCTGCGCTCCGGGCACAGCACAGCGATCGGAGCCAGCTCCCCGAGCACACCAGCCGCCACTACCCAGGCGTGGCTCCTCTGTAACATATCAGCCCCCCCCAGCCTGCCCCATCTAGCAGCATATCAGGCCAGAGACCTGATCCCCTTGAGTGCTGTCAACCGCACCGGATCAGGTCTCTGGCCAGGGCTGCCCCAGGAAACGGGCCAGAAGTAACCGAGCCACCCAGGAGCCCCCAGGCAGGCGTGCGTCTCAGCGGGACAGCGGGCTCCGCCCAGCACGACGACGTTCGTTTCGAATTTTCCTTCGCCCCCACCTCCCCCGCTCCAGCCTGAGCGTCTGCGGCCGCTAACAAGCCCTGCCTGCGTGTTCGGAGGAGCCGGTGCAGCGCTCAGCCAGCGACGCCTCTGGCAACACGTCGCCAACTCGGAGCCAAGATAAAACCACCACCAAGAGCGAGGAGAAGGGAAAACAAACAGAGTGACACATCCTTACCAGGCTCAACAGGGAGGACAGTTAGCAGCCCACCTAACAACTGAGAAGGGGCTTCCCCCACCTCTCCCCTGGCATCCGTCCACCCCCACACCTCTCGCCCGGCCTCCTGGCGTTACACTCCTCTTCCCTTCCCCACTCTGGAGAAGCAACATCCCCCACCCTGCAATTCAGCAGCATCGAACCCAGGTCTCCCAGCCCCCTGCTCTAGTCACGACACACCGCTACCCTCCTGCAGTGGCAGAGAACGCCCTTCAGGACAGTCTTTGGCCCTGACTTACGGTCAGCCAGGACGAGGCCCCCTCGCCCCCCCGGCCCTCCAAGATGCGGCTTTCTCCACTGGAGGAGGGCTGGCAGAATCACTCGCTGGCTGCCTCTAGGGCATGACGCAAGCCCCAGCCATTCCAGCACGTTTTAGCCTCGCCCATTGTCCGTCCCTGCCCCAGTCCCTTCGCTGCCCCTACTGGGCCCTCTATTGGAGGGGTGGCTGCCAGACGGCCATGGGGCCAGCACCTGCCAGAGAGTTGGATTCAGGTTGGGTGGTTCTGGGTTTCCCCACTTTGTGCCAGTGCTTTTATACCTCACGTACGTCCACGCTGCGATTCGTCTGGCCCATGCCAGCTGACTCGGGCGAAGGGGCGGGTGCATTGCCATGTAGACGTTCGGGCTAGGGCCAGAGCCCAGGCTCTAGGACCCTGCAAGGGGGGAGGTCGTTAAACCGCCCCTTGGCCCGAGCCT